TTGTACCTTGAAGTACCATCAATCTTGTAAGATATATATATATATATACACCATGAAGAGTGTGCCCTAGGACCAAAACTAATAAAATAATAACTCCATCACACTCCCCGAGGCTAGCCACCCTAGGAAGAAGAGAGGAGCCAAATTTCAAGATTTTTGATCATGATATTCTAGGAAAACCAAAACCTAGTACCATAGGCCTAGGATGATGTTCCCTATACTAGTTACCTTTCAACTAAAAATCAACTAAATAGTGCCTGATCCTATGATTTAACACCTTAGTTACTCCTATCCCATTAGACTCCAAGCAAAATCCTAACATTTCCATCTATTTCCAACTAATGGGTTTTTAGGACATTTTACATCAAAATTTTCCTATATATACCAACCTCCCCTAGCTTGGCAAAGCACAAACACCACACCCACACACACACATTCGGCTAGAGAGAGGGAGGAGAGCAAGAGAGAGAAGTCTAGAAGAAGAAGAGGAAGAAAGAAGAGAGCTTTCTTGTGCAAAGCTTAGTAGGTAAGCCACAAACACAACCTTCTCCTTCATTTTCTTTTTCTAATACATGTTTCTAAAATTTCTAAATAATGTTTTCAGATATGTTATTACTAAGTTCTTATGTTAAAAATGCTAAGGATTGAGTATTGATTCCATCTCTCTTGTATTTTTCCCATTTTGGCACAAAACCATCTTCTTTTTGTACCAATCTCTCAACTTTTCAAAAGCACTCTTTCAACCAAATTTTCTGAGTCAAACATGTGATAGTCAGCATATTTTCTTCACAAAAGAAATGAAACTTTCCCTGGATGGAACCCCTTTTAATCCGTAGGTCATAGTCTTTAATCAGTTCTAGCCATCTCCGCTGTCTCATGTCATAAAACATCAATCAATTCCCGGTTTGGCCGCCGATAAGGCCTTCAATTAGCAGTTTAAACATAAAATGTGAACAGATCAAGTAAACAATCCAACAGATAGAATACAGATTAACACACATACTCAGTCAATTCAGTTCCAGTTTTCAGTCAGTTAGTTCAGTACTTTAATCAGTTCAATTATCAGTCATAATCAGTTCAGTTTGACGGTAATCAATGTTTATCGGTAAGCAGTGATGAGGGTTATTACACTTCTTTAGACCCTTGCTGGGGCAAAAGGACTTGCGGAAGCCTTTTTCTGGTTTTGGAAGAGCTGCAAGAAAAAATAGACATTAGAACAAACAAAATATTGAAGAAATTAAAAACAAGTAAGTATGAACACAGGGTTCTTACCATTACCCTCTACAAAAACTGTACGAGGAAGAGGATAGAGATGGAGGTCCTCATCTGGAGCGAACTCCCAGTTTCCCAAGGTAATGAAGTAATCATCCCCAGATCCTTTGTTGGAGTCTGGGAGGTCGGCAATAATTTTGTACTCCGTGGACCTCAGCTTGAGGTAGTGAACGTAGCCCATATCTTTTTTGAGACCACACATAGTGTAACAGTATTGGATATCGGATAAGGTAACCCTAGTGCTTTCTTGTTTGGCTAAGACTATTATGCCATTGATAACTCGGTAGGAGTTGATGGCAAGCTGCATTGGGTTCAACTTATAATAATGGATTATCTCACGAAAAAGGATATCGAGTGGGAGTCGAAGTCCGCACTCGATGAAAACTACAACTGGGAGGGGCATAGAATCAGCTGTGGGCATGATAGAGTCATCCTCCCCAGCCAACCTCAGATTTACGTCGGCAGGGATGGAAAACTCTCACCTAAAGTATTCTAGCTTGGTCGGGGGTGTCTACCCTATGCCTCCACATACCTATAATATCGACTTAAGTAAAAGGTGTGAAACTTCGAAAGGGAATGTTTTGTGATGATTTTGAATGACCTCGGCTAAAATTGACGACTTGTAGGTTCTACAAACAAATCCCAAACCTAAATCTACGAGAACAAAGATTGAAGGCAGGAATCTGGAAAAGACACAGAAAACAGAAAAGCAAGAATGCGCTTCAGAATCAAGAACAAAGATGGACTATCAAGAACATTGTAAGTACAAAGGGTATAAGGTCAAGAACAGTGGCAAAAGTGCAGAAAAGTTATGAGCAGTGCCTATATTCAAGACATGGGCAAAGAGCAAAGTCGTGAAATAAACACACTCAGATACATGACTCATAAATCAAATACTTAAGTAAAACAACAATAGCGATTAATAATGAAGCAAAACTTCTTGGAGAGCAACAAGAAATAAAACTAGAAGGAACATTGCCTTACCAGAAAGAGAGAAGCCGAAATGAGGATTGCCGAAGTCTGACGACAGTTGCAAAGGCGGAAGATCGGTGAAAATTACGCTAGAAGGGGTAAACGGAGCAAGTTGCAGAGCTATGGAAGTTTGAACAATGGAGGAAGTTTGAACAATGGAGGATTTGAGAAAGCTAGAGAGAGAGAGCTTCAGAAACGATGTAAAGTGAAGAGACGGAAGGAGAAAGAGGTTTTGTTAAAACTTGAAATGGCGGCAAAAAGAAAGCAATTAATGCGCCTAAAATGATGTATGCGTCAGACGGCGCACGCAGGCGCGAGATGACTTACAAGCGCGTATGGAGTACGATCCAATAAGGGGAAAACGCGTGGTTAAGATGGTTGATGTATTATGCTTGACAACTCATACGCATGCGGGAGCTCTTGAAATTTTTGAGACATGTCGGTTGGGAATCTCTAAGCCGATATACTGGCAGGAAGTACCGATATAGGTCCCATCACCTCAGAGCCGAGGTAATAGAACCTAGGAGGTAGTTGTGGGGATATATTTTCTGAGTACCAACACATGGCCAAGGTGACGCCGACGTGTTAGCCGAGGTGCCACGTGTCCTGGTCATGACGCCGAGGTTATCTCGACAAGGCCGAGGTTATCTCCAAAGATATCGGAATCCAAGATAAGCGGATAAGACACAAGAGTCCTAAAATGAGGAAGGACTTTAGCATGGATAAGGATAACACTCTTAGGGAGTTTATCTTTGTCTCTTGGAGAGTTTAGGATAAATACTGAGCAGAAGTCCATTGAAGCTATGCTTCTATGGGGACTAGGATTAAGTTAACTATAAAAGAAAGGCATCCTCGATGGATCTAAGGTACGCAATTTATACTCAGAATAGTGAGTTTAGCAATTGATTATCTTTGGGAGATATACTGCTTTGATCGTCGAAGTGTCCCGGGTGGACGAACCATCGCCGGAATCTTCTCTTTCTGTTGTAGGTCAGGCAGGTGTCATCTATTCTGCCAGTACTCTCCAGCTGAATACTGAGTTGCCAGTGTGATCGGAAATTCACTCACACAGAAAGTATATATTTGTTAAAAAGTGAAAAGAAGAAATGTAAGACAGTAACTATTATTTAATAATCAGAGTTTTAGAGTAAAGTTGAAGACTCAAGAAAATTGAATGAAATCATTAGACAATTTTACTATGTCAACGTCTATTTTTTTTAATTGTGTATTAAAAAGACGATTTTAATTTGAATTTTTGGTTTGAAAGTGTTTGGATTTGCTTTTAGACGAGGAAAGTGTTTGGGTTGAAAATAATATTTTAAATGTCATAGATTTAATAGAGTTGTTTATAATTGTTTTTAGTAAAAAACAAAATATGTGTGTTGGTACAATTTATTTTGAAAATAAGTGAAGAGAATGTTTAGCAAGAATTAGTGATTGAAGATTGTTGCTGCTAATTGAAAATACGACTAGGGATGATTCTTAGGCTTCGTTTGGAAAGTTAGTTGACTTTTTGATTTTTTAACTTTTTTAGTTATTTTTGAGAAATGCTTTTGATTTTTTTGACTTTTTTATTAAAGAAAGAATGTAATAATTATGAGTTGAATGTGATAATTTGCCTTATTAGGCTAAAAAACCTATTTTATTTTTTGTGATTATTTTAGCCAAAACATCCTCAAACCCAACTTCCTAACCATAGGCTTAATAAGTGATAAGTGAAGGTGATTATTACTAGAGGAGGTTGTTGGTGATAAACAAATGTGGCTTTTTAGGCCTTGTTTGGTAAGTGTTTTAATTAAAAAGTCAAAAAGTTATTAAAAAAATAAAAAAATCAACAATTCATATAAAAAAGGTCAAAGATTCTATTTTCTCTCTATTTTTTTTGCACATATTTTTATAAAAAGTTAAAAAGTTATCTCAAATATATTAATTTTTTTATATTATATTTTAGTTATAAAATTAAAAAATTATTAAAAAAATTTATTTCCCAACGAGAACTAACATGAATTGGTATTCTAAGATGATCAACAATGATTAAAGATAATCGTTCGTCATGAAAGTTAGTGGCTGTAACAAGTAGCTATGGAATCCCTAGTAATGATGGTAGGAGACGAGGATGGCTAGAGATGGTAATGAATATAGTGCGTCTCTAACTCATTAAGTATGTAATGTTTATTTAGATATATAATGTTTTCTAGTTAAAATATTTAGTATAATTTTTTTTAAAAATTTTAATGTATTAAGTATATGATTAGATATTTTAATTCAATTCATATTTACTAGTTACATGTAGTTAATCTTTAAAAGTTAAGTAAAATATATTTAATCATTATGATTATTTCTCTTCATCTTTATTATTGATGTAATATTGTACAAAATTAATAATATTTAGATGAATAATTAAAATAAAGAGCATGATTACAGTAAAAATATGAAATAATTGATAGACAAAATAAAATATATATTTTATAGTAATGTTTAAATAGATAAATTATTTACAATAATTTAGTAAATCCTATAAATTAGTATTTATGAATGTTTTGAAAATAATGATAGAAATCAAATTTTGTTTGTTTACGATTTTAATTTTTTTTAAATAAATATTGTACGCGTGTCAAACGTTGAGTTGCCTGTCATTCCCCTACGCAACATCACCACATCTAGTTCGCGGACTCTCGTCAACTGGACGTGTTTGACCACTCCTATTAAAAATCAAATTGCACACGCAAACATTATAAAACGACCCGACATTACACCATAACAATAACTATTATACGTCTCACTCACAAAAATTAAAAAAACAACCCACTCTCCAAATCATACAGTTGTATTTTTCATTATAAAAATTTCGTAAAATGTCATCCACCTCCCACTGAGATCGCATCTTCATCTCATTCTCTCTCTGTCTGTCTGTCTGTCTCTCTCTCTCTCTCTCTCTCTCTCTCTGACTTCCGTTGCCTTCGCTTCCGGGACTCCCCATCTCTTTAATGGCTACTTTGAAACCGGCAAAGCCATACAGACGCCACCCATTCAACGGTATATATATATATATATAATACTTTTTATATATGCGTAGATTCTACGACGACAACCAGTGTAGAAGTTTTTTTTTGGTTTCTGGTTTTGTGTTTCTGAGCTCTGAAAGCATTCGAATTTTGACTGTTAGAATTTAGGGCTAGGGTTTGCTGCAACAAGATGGATGATACAAAACAAGTGGGGAAGCCACCCAAGTTCAAAGGCATCAGTCACGAAGTTCAGGAGATCTTGGAGGCTGACTTAGACGATGCTCAAGCCAGGCGTCGCGCTCGTGAGGCCTTCAAACAAGTTCAACTCTCAATTGATCATTACTTGTTCAAAGTATTCTTGCTCTTCTCTTTCTGGCATTGTGTTCTTCGGAAACAAAAAACTTGTTTATTTGCTTTAAATTTGATTGTGTTTCTTAGTGATTATTATTACTATTATTTCTCTGAACTATTAATGGTTAATTGAGGATTTGAGGAGATTTCCTACCCTAGGATTGCTATTGTTAGTGAATTGACTAGAGATAAACACATGTGGGGTATGTGGGGAAGTGTTACCCAAGAAGCAGGGAGGTCCAACGCGCGTTTAATTGTTTGGGTTCGGATGCGATTTTGAAGACAAGTTGGGGTGGAGCAAGTAGAAAGTAGGGTGGGCATTTATTTTAAAAAATTCAGCAAAAATGGAAAAGAGAGAGGAGAACCATAAAATTACGTACGAGGTTGGAAGTTCAGATGCGGCCACATTTTATTGTCTCGAATCTTGATTATTGAATTACGAAAAAAATAAAATAAAGGAAAAAGGATTAGATTGGCCTCATCGAACTCAGAGAGGTTCATAATGATTGTTTTAAGTTGTAGTCGGTAGATAGCTTATTCTCCATGTGCCTTTGTATCGTAGTCAAGAAGAAAGGTTATGAAAGGACTGGAGAATTTTAAGCTGATGATATCTTTCTTCAGTAATGATCAAGCTACTTTGATGTGTAGTTCACAGATTGCACATAACACTTGCACTTCAAAAACTTCATACCCGTCACCCAAATTGTGTTCCTCTTAAATAATGTGTCATGAAAGTTTATTAGTTTGTGCAAATACCCTGCATTGGCTCTTGGAAACAACAACGAAAATAACTGGAATTAATCGACAGTGGTTAGTACAGAAAGACTTGGGTGTTTTCCATTATTTTCCCTCAATCTTTTGAAGAAGCAAACAGTTGTTTTTCTTTCTTCTGTTCTTTCTGTTTTAAGCATGTATTTCCTACTCTATGAATTGGTTAATTTTTTGGGCTATGCATGTTCTCTTTATTTTCCCTTATGGGATTTTTCATCGTAGTGTTATTCATTTCATTGGTCCTTTTATTTTATTTGTTTCTTTATTTTTACCCTCTTGTTACCTTGGTTGAAATAAATTATGATGAAATTTTAAATCTCACAGTTCTGAGCTACTTTCTTTATGTGGTTACTTTTGCAGGCTATTAATATTTAGTTGTAATAATGATTCTTTGTTTTAATTCTATTACAGTTGCCATGTGATGGGGTGAAGATGAACGAGGTAAACACTTTTGATTTTAATATGTTATTTTTTTTCTTTTTAACACTGAATGGAGGTACCTAGTGTTGGGCCTAAAATGATTATCCTAATTGCTGCAATAACTGACTATGTGATGAAGGACAAGCCATGCCTGCTTACTAAAATACTTGTTAAAATTGATGTATTATTGATTGTTGTTTATTGTTATGTTTACAATGATATATATAGAAGAGAAGAATAGGTAGTAGGTGGAGTAGGTGAAGGTAGGTGTAGTAGGTGATGGTAGGTTTGGTGGTAGGTGTAGTAGGTGATGGTAGGTGTGGTGGTAGGTGATAGGTTTTAACAATACTTATATCTCTATTATTAACCCCATTCATATTGCTTAATTGCTATGAAGCACGGACACTTCAAAATAGGCATCGTAGTGGTGTCGGACACGGCTGGGACACGCCAAATGGCATGCCACTTTAATTTTACTTTCTTTTTTTGTTGGGACACTTCAGGGACACGCGTGTCCAAATATGGATAATCTATTAATTTATTTAAATATAATGGTTTATATATATATATTTATATAGTTAATTAATGTTAGTTTTTATTAATTTTGATTGTTTGGTAACATAATATTGATCTACATAGCAAATATATGTAAAAAAAAAATTAAAATTTTTTTTGCAGTGTCTCCCGCCGTATCCGTATTCCCTTTTTTTTGGAATCACCGTGTCCCGTGTTCGTATCCGTGTCTGTGCTTCATAGCTTAACTACTTGGAGCCAAAAAATAAATAAATAAAATTAAATAAGAAAGAAATTTTGTAATGACAGCTTGTGAAAATCATTTGAATGTGCGGCCTGCATTGGCTACTGTATATCCGGTAAATCCCAGAAACCTAATTTTCATTTTGATGGTCAATAGACTTTCCTTCTAACCAAGTTTTTAATTCTTCATTCACAGTATTAGATATTTAAAAACATCGATGAGTTTTAGTTTATATTATTTCTGGAATTATGTTTGGATGACTTTTAACTTTGACTCGTCTTGCTTTTACAGTAACCCATAGAGCTTTCTTGGTTAATCATAAATCTATACAGAAGGGCAACTGAAACTGAGTCCTTTTTGAGTTTATATACACGAATATTTATGCAGTGATGATCATTTGAGATTCTATGGTGCAGTCATATGAAGTGAACTCTAGAGGCGTGGAAATTTTCACAAAAAGTTGGCTTCCAAAAACCTGCCCCCCCAAAGCAATTATTTATTACTGTCATGGTTACGGAGATACTTGCACATTCTTGGCTGAAGGCATGTACTTCGTAACATATATTAGAAAGTAGATTCATATTGTGAGACAAATGGAATGTAACTGTTTTACGGAATTGTCTACAGGAATTGCCAGGAAGTTAGTATTTTCTGGATATGGAGTTTTTGCGATGGATTATCCAGGATTTGGTCTTTCAGAAGGTCTTCATGGATATATTCCAAGCTTTGATATCCTGGTTGATGATGTCATTGAGCAGTACTCAAAAACCAAAGGTATAGTACCTAATGATTTGCTTTTCTTTGCTACTATATTGGGATTTCTTTGTGGGAACTCTGTAGTTAGAAGCTAGAACATTTGCATTGAGAGATAGGATTGACTCCTTTACACACTAAACTTCTTATTATGTTCGTTTGGTCATTGTCATGTTTCAAAGAAAAGAAACGATGAAAGAAGCAAGAATAACATTGGAAGATTGTTAAAAAGCCCAACCAGCTAGCTCTTTGGAGCTCCAAAGAGTGGAAAGAGCTATGGGATTAATGATGTTGCAAAGTTAATGTCTCCTTGTAACTAAAACAAACTTTTTCAGTTTGCGTCGTAACTCCAACTCAAATAAACTTCCTAGTTTGATCAGGACAATAATTGACCAATTTTAAATATGCTAATTTTTCTTTTCTAGAAGGTTCTTACTCGTCATTTGGCAGCTACTCTGATAGATCCTATCAGCAAGTTCCAATCCTTTTGTTTGAAATTTCTTCATTCAATGCTAAAGCTCCAACCTTGAGAAATCCAAATGCATCCAAATCCTCAAAAGATAATTGAAGGTTAAAATTTAATAAATAAGCCATTATAATTTTTGTTTTATGCCTAATTGATTATTAGAGAGGTGATTGAGCATCTCTTATAAGGTAAGTTGAAGAATAAGCAGATGTCACTGGCAAATAGAAAACATGAAGGACATTTGTAGCATGTGCTTGTTTACCCTAACTCTGAATCTGATTATCTGTTTATTATTATTAATATTAGTATTTAGGGAGCAATTTACGTTTAGGTGTTGATTGGCATACACATTCTTATATATTTCTTTTGGGATGTGTTGTATATTGAAATTGCCCCCTTTGCTGGACTTTTGACTTGGCTGGTTAGAGAGACAGATTAGCCACATGTTGCATGGTTCCCTATCTTCTGGGCAGACATGTCATGATGGTGCATCTTCCGTGAGTACATCTCACTTTTGGTGAGGTTGTTCCACTAACAGGATTTCAAACTTGGCATAGGCTACCATTTGTCATGCCTATGAACCAGCCTCATAATTAGCAATCTCCTCTACCTTCATCAGTATTTTATTCCTATTGCCTACCCTACCAACATTACCCCAGAAAGATTTTGACACACCCTGGGGATTCCGAGAATCCTTTTACGCACCCATACCCACATTCACTGAAGTTGGCTTCCAGGCTATCCTTGCTGCAGTCAATATTACCAGAGGCTTTATCCCCCATTGCATTCAGTATTTATAAAAAATAAGAAATATGAAATCCTCTTTTGCCCTCCGTGTTTATACCTTGGCATTGTAACAGAAAGTTGCAAGATTCTTCATTTTATTCCTGAATGGAAACTGGAATCCATACTTTATTTCTTCCAATCCAGACAATGGCATATTCCTGAAGCATATTCTCTTTATTATTCTTTGTTTATATTCCGGAAAGAAATAGAAAAAGTTCGTAAACCATAGGAAATTTGAGGCGATCAAGTATTTTTGTGACATTTTTTTCTAACTGGATAGTTTTGTTATTTTGGATGCAGAGAACCCTGAGTTTGGCAGTCTCCCAAGATTCCTGTTCGGACAGTCAATGGGTGGAGCTGTAGTTTTGAAGGTCCATCTGAAACAGCCACATGCGTGGAATGGAGCCATTCTCGTTGCACCTATGTGCAAAGTATTATTTTGAACTTGCTTCTCATAGACACTCCTCCGTTCTCTGATTTAGATTTTTTTTATTGACTAAAAAGCTTTTTGTGTAGATTGCAGATGACATGGTTCCACCACGGTTATTGACACAAATCCTTATTGGTGTAGCTAAATTTCTTCCAAAGCAGAAGCTAGTTCCTCAAAAAGACTTAGCTGAGTTGGCATTCAGAGACTTGCATAAGAGAGAACTGGTTTGCTTCTCTCCTTTTCTTGAACAAATTATTTATCAGGTCTTGGGTTATGGGTTTTGAGATGGTACAAAATATTAGCTTCTCAATGTTGTAAATAGTGCCATTTTTTTCCTCTACACCTGCCTCTCGCCATTATTTAGTCCCTGCATCCTATGTGATTATGGCTCAAATGGTTCTGTTCTTTGAATGCAGGCAGCCTATAATGTCGTTGCTTACAAGCATAAACCACGTTTGCAGACTGCCGTAGAGCTTCTAAGAACCACCCAAGAGATAGAACGTCGTTTAGAAGAAGTATGTCACTTCCTGCTTCTCTATTATTATACCATATGGGAATACACTACTGGAACATCCCCCACCCCCTTCCTTATTTTTGGGATAAGTAAGACATGCACAAGCACATGCGCACACACAACATACACATGTCACAACTGCAACTCGAATTCTACACCTCCTGGTCTGCTCCTTATATTATCTGTGCTTGTTGTCTATTATGCAATCTATTGTTAACGGTTTTCTAAGTGTATTTAAATTTTTCAAGAAGCTACTATATAAATTGCTGATGTTGACTTAAGGAGCATGTGCACTTGGAAATAGTGACAATATTGTGACAGAGGTAGATATTGTTGGGGCACGGTTTTTACTAATCTCAGTGCTTATCTTAGACGACTGTGATTTGATGACACTGCCAATGAGATACACTGTTGCTCCACATAAGTCAAATCTTCAATAAAGCTTTGCTCACTTTTCCTCTATATGATCAAGTACAATGCATTGCACTAAATCTACAAAAAAAGTACAATGCATTGCCTATTTAAGAACAAGGAAATAGTACAAAGAAAGGCTTTGAACACCGATATTGGACAAAGTAAGAAATATGTGCTTTTCGAGTTATGAAGAAGCTTTACACTGATATTTTATACTCTCTCTCTCTCTCTCTCTCTCTCTATGGTTTTGAAAACCGGACCGGACGGTTCGACCAGTTGAACCGTTGACCGGTCCGGATATACCTTCTAAACCGTTCGAAACTAAAAACCGGCTTATTTAGAGAGAACCGGGAAAACCGGCGGTTGAACTGGCGAACCGGTCGACCCGGAGACGGTTTGCCGGGTCATTGAAATTGAAAATTTTGATTTTTTTTTTTTATTTTCTCTGACTTTTTTTTTATTCTTTCTTTCTTATTATTTGAACTGTTTTGGATATTTTCTATTTTTTTTAATTTTTCTTTTTTTTTTATTTCTTTCTTATTTTCCAAGGGTCTCCTCTTGTGAGAAATCTCATTAAGAGCTTGAAATTATTGTGAGAGTCTCTACCTATTTATAAGAAAAAAAATCTTCCAAAAAAACTCAAAAAATCCATGTGGTATTCAATCAAATTTATTGGAGAGAGAATTGAAGTTTTGATATCCCTCCAAAATTTTAGTTCTTCTTTCAATTAAATTATTTGAATTAAAATCATATGGAGGGAATATTGAATATTTGATTTTCTCTTCCAAAATTAAAATTAATAATATTTTAAAATATATTATTATATTTTTCAGTAAAAAATATATTAGGAGAAATATTTAAGATAATTTAATATTTTTAATATATAATTTTATTACTTATATTTTTATTTAAATATAATTTTAATATGTTTATTACGTCACAGTTTGATTCCAGTTCAACCCGATGGTTGAACCGGTGAACCATCCACCCGATCCCTTTTCCGGTTCGCTCACCGGTCCAATTTTTAAGACATTCATTTGTGTGCTTGATTGTTTGTGTATTGTTTAAGTTGGGTATTTAAGCATTTTGAGAACTTAGATTGGGGTAACCTTTTGAAGTTATTTGATTGCAAAGGTGTTGAGCAGAGAATTGTTCAGGTTTATTGTAATCCCAAAATTAATTGTTACAAACAGAGAAAAAATAGTTTTGGAATAGCATTGTGCATATATTAGATGACCTAAAAAAGTGTCTTATGGCTTTTGTAGGTCTCTCTGCCACTATTGATTCTGCATGGGGAGGCTGATATTGTGACTGATGTATCAGTGAGCAAGTCTTTGTGTGAGAAGGCCAGCAGTTCAGACAAGAAACTAAACTTATATAAAGAAGCTTATCATTCCCTCCTTGATGGCGAACCAGATGATATGATAATTCGCGTATTTGATGATATTATTTCTTGGCTTGATGAGCGCTGCGTAAAAACTACTGATTGTTGATGGCAGACAGTTGATCCTCTTGTTCATGTACCCATCATGGAAAGAAAAACATAAAGAAAAAATAGAGAATGAATGGAATGGAAAAGGAAGTAAAAAAAAGAAAGAAAATGAAAAAAGAAAAGAAAAAAAAGAGGTGGATATTGCATATAAAATCATTTTGTGCATTGCATCTGAACTATGAACTATGTATTTGAATTTTGAAACAGAAAAGTTAATTTACAAAATAGGTTCGAAGATATTTTATTTGTCAATTCCTTATTCTTCAAATGTTGCGTGTGGGTTCCTGAATGCACAAGCATTTGCATCAGCAATGAAAGAGGCAATTGGAGGGCAGAAATTGGGGGTTAAATCTGTTGAATGGGTTTATTTTGCTGTTCCTGTCCAGAAAAATCATAAAAAAGATTAGGTAAATTATCAAATAGGTCTTAATAATTGAACTTAATTCTTATCAAGTTATGTTGAAAATAAGTTCTCGTGACTAAAAGTATTTTTTTGTGATAATTTTTTTTGCATTTTGCTAAAAATTGACAATTAATGGACTTTTTTTGTCACAATTTTTATAAATTGTTGTTAAAATTTACAATTAGTATCTTTTTTTATAATGAATTTCTGTAAATTGTCACTAAAAATTAAAAATTAAAAATTTTTTTGTGACGATTTTTTAAAATTGTCGCTTAGTGACATTTTTGTAAGCGACAATTTTCAAACTGTTGTTAAAAATTAACAATTAGTGACTTTTTTAATAGTATTTGATGAAAAATATCATTAATTATCATAGGGCCTATTGGATAATAAGTTTACTTATTAGGACTTATACGTAAGTCCCTCAAAAATATTTGGGTAGAGAAGTCCTGTTTGTTTATTATTGGTTTCCCTCATCTCTCAAGCCTTCTCTGAAACCATTGTAGGTATATTTCCTTCTTAACTCTAACTTTTGGCGGTGTCCGAGCTCTCGACGATAGTGGTGACGGAGTTCGGCAGCGACGATAGAGACAACGTCGACGAAGATGACGGGCTTTCAAGTAGATTTTACTTTCCATATCACATATTTAAAATCGATAATTTTTTCTGAATTGTAATTAATTTTTTTTATGAATTTGTTTTTTTGTTGTTCGTTTTGTTGTTTGGTTGGAATAACTCATTAGGCTCTTGTTGATGTATATCGTTATTTATTAATATAAATATTTTCTCAATATATATAGATAAAGAAAGATAAAGAAATGCTCAACCAATCTTTATGTGAACAACCAAAGCTTTCCTTAGTGTAAGTTATTATAGTCATTATAAAATAGTTTGACCAAGTTAAAGTGACTTGCCTTAAAAAAAAATCAAATGGCTTGTGCTCCATAAAAAAAACAAAAGCAAAGTCAATTCTCAATGAGGGTGGTTTTTTATGAATAGTTTTATTACACTAAATATTAAAGGAAAATCACATTTACTAGCTCGCTTACCTCTTGCATCTTTTTTATATCACTATCATTACAAACTCTTGCTTCTTTTTATTTATTTATTTATTAAAAGATAGCATATGGCATACTATTTTATGAAAATGTCGAGGAGTGCCCCCAACAACATGAAATAACCTCTCATTTCATAAATAGTGTCATATGCCAAATAATATGAAAACACAACCAACCTATCCCAATAATTTGAATTGATCTTGAGATCCAGACTAATTCACTCAAAAAAATTGTAATCAGTGAATATGTGATGAAAATTAATTTATATAATATAAAATTTATATATATAATAAATCTAAATCAAAATAAAAAATTTGAATAATTTCTAAATTAATAAGGACGGATAGTAAATAATTTTCTGCTAAAAATGGTGAGTCTCCCACGATCTAAAAAAAATTATTGGTTAGTCTTGGCACGCTATATGGTCATATCTCACATCAATTACAATTCAATATATCTCTTCATATTTTTCAATTATCTAATACAAATTTATAAGTCTCATCCTCTTCACTAATTATAATACTATTAAAACATCACATGACGGTACCCCAAAACCAATCAATAACTGGGTTGGGAGTTGCTGCAACGAGGGCTTGTAGAGATATTTACCGAGTGTATTTTGATGATCTGAACCGTTTACATTGTAAGGTTTGTCGAGTATATCATTCATATAAAAAAAATCAAATTAATCGAAAATCTGTAACTTCATGATCAAGTCCTAATTGTTTTTAAAAAAATTATTAAAATTATGGTAACCGTTTATTTTTTAAAAAACAAATATACTCTTATTATGAGATTATAAATATCTAATTTATTTGATTTTTTATATTTAATTTTTTATATGAATAATTCAGTTTACTAATAATATAAATAATTTAAATCTTAAAAAAAATAAAATAAATAAAAAGACTCGAAACACACTCTCTCAATGAATGAGCCTCACAACAGGCTGCTGCTGTGACATAAGCCACAGCATGATCCAATTCCCGAATAACTTGTCTTCTGCATGACCCAACCCACAAACAAAAGTAGATGTGATGTTAAATTAGACCAATACCAGCTAGCCAACTAACTGCATGTGCGCCACATGTACAACCACTGATGGCTTATATTTAGGGCAAATTACAAACATTCTCGAGATTTGGTAAAAATACAGATTCAGATTTGAGAAATTATAAATTATTTTTCGAGAGTCAAATTTTCATAACAAATTAAGAAAAATTAAAAAGAAATCTCTATAAAAATAAAAAACCTCAAAAGATAATTTATTATGAAAATATAAATCTCAAAGGTAAAATGTAATTTCTTAAATCTGAAAAAAATTTATATTTTCCCCAAATCTGGAGGGGTTTGTAATTTGCCCTTATATTTAAGAGATGAGAATATTATTTATCGTCGGGCCGGGTTTTGTTTTTCAAAAGTGAGTTATCGTAATGCGGGTCTTGAGGCTGAGGCGACCCCTCCATGACCAGTGAGTGACCACCACCACCACCACCTCCTCCTCCTCCTCCTCCACTACCGCCCACTTTTTCCATTTTATAGTCCGATGATGAATGAAGCTGCATGTGAGCGTGTCGTGTCTGTATTTGCTGCCTTGTGCACAAATTCCTATTTTAGCTCGGCATTACTTTTACTTTTCTCGATTACCCACTTGTTCATAGCTCTCCCTTGAGAAGCTGGAGAGCCCCTATAATTGATGTTGTTGACACAATTGTTGTTTAGTTTCTTATCTTCCCATTAATCATGACCTTCTCGTCTTGCTTATTCCATTCTCAAATCTCACTCAAGGTACGTTTTTTGCTATGCACTTTGCGTTTTTTTTTTTTTGGTTTAATTCTTCAGGCTCTTTGTTTCTTTACGGATTTGATGAATTTCTGATTGATTGGAATTGGGTATTTGGTATTTGGTATAGTAGTTCCATTTCAGTTAATTCTTTGGTAGATCTGAGAGATGGGTTTCTTTTGGATTGATAATTTGGATAGCTGTAACTAATGGCAATTTGGGTTTGATCAATGATTGATCTCTTCTTGCGTGTCTAATTGGAACCTGTGCTGGGTTCAGGTCTTCTTAACTCTTGTACTGCATCTACACTTTTTCCATGAGCACTGTAAAGTTAACCGTCTAATTAACACCTGTGTCATTGGTTCTGTTTCTAATGACTGAAACTTTGATTGAAACTGAAAAGTTTATTTGTGTTCAATTGGATTGCTTGTAAGTGAAAGTGAAATTTTTGTTAACTTCTCTGTAACCAAACAGTCAAACATGCATTGCGAAATTCCACTTGAGTTTTGTTAATTTAGTTCAGCTTTTCACTGATGATTGGTAATTGTACAAAAATGACTAGGTTTTTCACTTGGAACCTTATGGATACTTCTCAAAACGACGTAATAGTGATTGGGTCTCATTGCCATTGTAGGTTTACTAACCCTTATTTATCTCATATTGTCCAAATACTTGTCATTGTAGATCGACCGCTCAGAGTTGATCTCTATACCTTCATTTAATCAGAGATCCACTTTCTCTCTCCAATGTATGAACACCAAACTATATGGCCAACACATTGCGGCAATGGGATCCAAGCTAAGCAGTGACTGGAGTTTTATGGGAGGATCAAGAATTATCATTAGACCAAACCTTCAAAGATTCAATCTTTACAGAAAACCATCTGGAGTGTTTGCTTCATGTAATTGTTTCATGTCTCTTATCCTTCTTCCATTTACAAATAATTTCGTTATGGTATTATATGTCTGCTTGGTTTTACCATGCTGTGTTCTTAGTCTGGATTAATTCATTAGCTTGGACTTGCATCCGAGCCTCTGCATGGTTTCCTTGAAGTTGATGCTTCTACTCTACTCTCTCATGCTCACCAAACTTTGATATTATTAAAGATTAAAAAGAAATGGAGAGTAAATGCCTTAGCTGTATTAACCTTTTCCGCTGTTGGATGGTCAGTCCTATCCTTACCATGATGTGTTGTGGGAGATGGAAGGATTAAGTACTGCCTTGATCTTTCCACACTTGTTAGTATCTATCCTGTAGGCAGCACACTAGTTTGGATGTTTAAATGAGTTTAGTATGTGTCTTCTCAGAATAAAGAAAATCCCCCTTTTCCACTTAATATTTTTCATTCATCAAAACGCTAACAATGCGGGCCCTTTATGCCTCAACTCTACCACACCTACAATGAAGATTTATACCGTGCTCAGAGTTTCCTCTCGGTATTTCATTGTTCTAAAAACTACTATGTCTCTACTTTCTGTTCCCCTGCAGGGTTGGCAAGTCCTCAAATTGCTAGTAATGTTTTTACGCTGGGAACGGCAGCTGTTCTTCCATTCTACACCCTCATGGTTGTGGCTCCAAAAGCTGAACTGGTAACGTTTCTTTCTCTATCTTGGATTCTAATTCATCGTGGCAATGGAAACTTCCTTTTAATGTTCTGTAAACTTTTTTTTTTGGTTGTATACATTGTTTAAACACACAACAAATGGTTCCTTCTAATATTTGTTATCTGTCTTTGTTTCTTTTTTCGTTCCTCTTTCTGTTTCACTAAATTCTTGTCGGCTTTTGACTTTTATTTCTTATATTTACGACTTAGTTCACAATAATAAAATAATTAATTTTACATTAGTTTTGCTTGCTAATAGTTGCTGAATCTTGTATTAGCCACCAGATTCTAATCCAATTAAGTTAATTTTCGTAACGTAGAGATTTGCATTATATTCAAACAATGTTTCTGAATGGTTGGGATTACTCCAAATGCAGACTAAGAAGTCTATTTTTTTTTTTTTTTTTTAAAATACAGACTAAGAAGTCTATGGAAAGTAGCATACCGTATGTAGTGCTCGGGCTTTTGTATGCTTATCTATTGTACCTCTCTTGGACACCAGACACAATAAAGCTAATGTTTGCGAGTAAATATTGGCTGCCGGAGGTGTGTATTCCACTAGAACATATAGATTCAATATTTGTACCATCATTTTGTAAATTTACTATAGAATTCAAATATTGGTTGTGATAAGAAACAAAAATGATTCTTATCCCTGATCTTATTTACTCTTCAGCTGCCTGGTATAGCAAAGATGTTCTCCAATGAAATGACATTAGCTTCTGCATGGATTCACTTGTTGGCTGTAGATCTCTTTGCTGCTAGGTCTCTCTCCCTCTCCCTCTCCCTCTCCCTCTCCCTCTCTCTCTCTCTCTCTCTCCTTCACATACACACACACACTATATATATATATATGTATATGTTTGTGTGCTTGTATAGCATTTTTAACACCTTGTATTATGTGATTAACCAGGCAGGTTTTCCATGATGGACTAGAGAATGAAATCGAAACCCGACATTCAGTTTCTCTCTGCCTGCTTTTCTGTCCTGTAGGAATTGTTACTCATGTCATCACCAAAGCACTAGCCAAAAGTTCCAGAAATGCCAAACACGGTGTGTAAGAACAACTGATTTATGCCAAAAAGATGGATCTGTAGGAAGATGAACGACATTGAGAACAGTAGATTTTCATTGAAATTAACATTTCAAGAGAATTTTCAATTGCTTTCATTTGCAAGTACTCTTTTTTAAATAAAAAATTCTTCCTTCTTTAATTGTCACATGACTGGTCATTGGTCTTTGTTTGGGTTCAAACCATTACAATATGTATGAACATACAATACTTGTTCCTTGAGTTGTGCCCCAAACTTCTGATAACCATCTTTTTAACCAAGATAATGAGATCCAACATGTCTTGAGACGTTGAACCACCGGAATTAATGAAGAAGTTTGCATCGATATTTGAAACCATTGCCCGATCTTTCCATCAGCTGTGTCAATCAACTCTGTTGCTAAAACCTCCGACTTGGATGGAATGTGAAAGACTGAGTTGGTGCTTCTCTCTCCCACTGGCTGAGATATTCTCATTCTGTTAACAAAACAATTAAAACATTAGCATTTATTTCCTGGAATCATTACGACCCTCAAAATGGTCCCCTTTTTCAAGTATTCTAGTTCCCGTCTTGCTGATTCTGCATACTTCAGTCAGAAGATGGCAACTATTAAAGATCAAATTGGAGGATCATTTAGGAATTAGAAGGTTCAAAAAAATTTACCTGCATGCTTCAAGTTGGTAGTGAAGACATCTGCATTTGGTCTCCAAATATCCCATTTGATAGGTCTGAATTCTGCAAGGAATCCTTCCTAACAAGTTCCAAAGATGTTGCTTGATATATCCCTAGAATATTTATTCAAATAAAATTGTAAATCAATAAGCCATGTGAAATTAACCAACAAAGGTAACAATCTACAATTGCACCTGGAGACTGTTATATCCAATACATCCGTTGAGCTCTAATGACAAGTTGAGCTCTAATGACAAAAATTGAAACGGGAAATTGTTAATTAAAATAGTGACAAGAAGGTTGTTCTACATACCAAAGCCCAAAATTGTGGAGTAGATCAGAAAGCCCAGTACAGAAAAATCCATTTTGTACACAATCTCCATAATAATGATGCATCCTCCAGCAACCATTAAATGCTTTGGAGAAGAGAAAACCACATGCAATCTGAAATTACATGCAATCAACACCAATCATTTATGGGCCCATAAAGTCGATTCCGTGATCATTAAAAAACTTTGCAAGTAAAAGCATAAAAATGTAACATAAACTAAGGAAGACCTGCATCAAATTATACATATGAACAGGAGAGAACAGAGAGAAGCTTCGCATATTGACACAAACCTACAAGCAACATAAGAATGAAAAACAATGCCTGAGGAATCCAGTTATCAAACTACTAAACATAATCAATGAAACTAATGTGAACAAAATGACAGAATGTGGCCATTTTGTGCCAGGGTGGGGATCTAAATTTAAATCGTGCACTGATGCAATGATACTTCTCATGATGCCATCATATAAATGGCCTCATGTTGCATCACCATGACGCAACAGAATGCAAAATATATTTTAAAACTTGAAAGCAAAACACTTTTGAATAAGGGACATCACTGTCTTCAATCACTTTCTTCTTCTTCTTCTTCTTCTTCTGGAAATGTAACAAGTAATACACCATATGCTTAAGTGCACGTATCTTTGCGCATTTTCACACAAAGCAAGTGGTTGATAAAACTGAAAGCTAAAAATTAAGCATATTATGAAGACATACCTTTTTCCACATGGTCCCTTCTTCCATACAACACTGCAGATAACACTAGGACAGCACCAGAATATTCTGCCATTATAGCCCTGAAGTTTTGATAAAAAATTGAAATCAATAAAGCTACTAGATTATTAATAACAAAGATGACAAATGGTATCCAAATTAAAGGGAAAAAACAAAAAAGGGTGCTCAGGTATTGTAATAGATTGGCATAAGATCAATGAGCAAGCACCAAATAGATGCTGTAAAGGGGGCCTATGAGAACAACGTAGAGATAATCAATAAAGGGGTATTGCACATGTATGAATGGAAAACAAGGGCGAATGACATCTCAACCTCGACATACTTTCATATGCCAGAATGACAGTTATTTTGGGCAAATTGACTGTCCCCTGTTCAATTACCACCCTTTAGTCCTTGGTTATAAATTATATCCAAGCATTGAGGAAATTACATTCAAGCATTGACTGCACAAGACCTAAAGAATGCCATATCTGTATTTTTTAATTTTTTTTCTAAATGAACACGGCTCCCATTCGGAAGTAATTGTGATGCTTCAGTTTTAATCATTTCATTGGTTGTTCATGTATTTATGCCATTTTTAAGTTGTTTAATATTTTATTGATTTTATATCATATTCATACACTAGATCATACCAGGGTTCACCAAGGCCAACTTTCATTTCCATTCTTGAAACCATGAAATATATCAGTCACATACTTTATTTTTCCATAGATTGCATAATACCATCCAAGATTTTTATTTTTTGGAAAGGAAAGTATACAAGTTGGAGTCTTTTTTAAGCATAAGACCGAACCTCACAGGACCACATGATTTGAGGCCCTTTCCCCACAAAATGAAGTATAAAGCTGTTATACCACTGTTGACTTTTTGGCTTTCGAAGGGTATTATTGTAATTGCGAGCGTGCTAGTAAGGATTAATCAGTCCTTACAGAAAATTAATTGCCAACCAATTATCAGACGATTGCGTTTTAGTTCTTTCAGCTTCAATGAAAAAGACTTTTACTGGTGGCTTGATTTAGGAGAATTAAGCAAAATAACAATTAAATGAAAAACAGTTGAAGTATTTCATTAACATGAAAAAACTTACAATGATTCAAACTCAGCCTCGTAGAGGTTTACAACAACAATCTACTTGAAACTACTCCTATGAACGAAGTGCAGTGCAATAATTTAAAGTACAGAAAATGTAAGACTGGAAATGTAAAACTGAAATAAGTATAATAAGACTGGTTTTTTGGATCTGAGTCTGGGGCTTTTTCTGGGGCCTTCTCAGTTATTTATACTGCTCAAGGATGACCATCGAACTGCATTTCTAACCGTTGAACTGCTCCTCCATGATCGCTGATCATGTTACCTCAAGATTAGCTCCATTACGCCATTACTTGCAGTTAGGCTTCCCTCCTCAATTTGAATTTGAAATGTGAGTAACTGTTGAAGCCACATCACCTTGCATCTCTTTGTTGATCCACTGCTACTCAGATCTCGTAATAACCAATACTAATTGCCACGTGTACGATCAGGATCGAAGACTTGAATAGTCTTCCCATATTATTCTTATTTTGCCATGCGTCGAATTGTAATTGGCTTGTACAAAATATGTAGCCAACATTATCCCCCGCACTAATATACCCAATACTTGGTGATATTAGTGGATCAAGGTCTCTTTCCCACGTCTTAGAACATGCATGGGTTTTGCATTCTCCCAGAAATGCAACTGTCATTCATCATTTGCATTAAACTCTCCTTCAATCTTTTGAACACCCCTACCATCTTAGTATTCGAACAGACTGATACATTTTTTATGGCCGAATCATTTTTTCCCTCCATTGATCGAGCACTCGAAGAGTCATATGTTGATGCTGTTCTTCCTCGAAAGAACCTCCATACATTAATTAGCCACGTTTACCCACCTTTCTATATTCAAGTCATGGATGCCTTTGCAAATTATCAACCCTTAGACTTCGAACATATTGCCCTTAATCCTTCGATTCAGAAACTCACAAATATGGACATGGGAAGTTCTTCTTCTGACTCACCCTTGGACTACGAACAAACTGCTCTCAATCCTTTGATTCAGAAAGTTGCAAATATGGACATTGGAAGTTCTTCTTCACAACCCTCTGTATGGGACAAGGCTGCGACTTCTTCCTCTTCTGGGGCTTCTGACTGGACAAGCTGGTCCAAACCTGAGGCTTGTGATTTGAGGGAACGAATCAACCATCACCTTGTCAAATTTACTAACCCTTTAGAGTTCCCTTCTTATGCGCGAAGCTCAGTGGTCTATCACTACGTGCCCATTGACCATCGACGCAGTTTGGAGGAGAATCTGCTTGTGGCATGGTATATATCCTCCATACCTACAAAGATAGTGCACGCCGCCCAACGCCTAGAAGAGGCACAAGGGTACAATCCATCATTCTTAGCCCAGAAGGCGAAGATTTGTTCTTCTGACTGGCTCGATTATATTAATGCCCTTGTTCCTTCTGCCCTTGTTCCATTTCCTGAAATAGAAGCATCCACACCTTCCCCTCTGCCAAATCCTTACTGGACAGAGAAATTGAGGCTTGCCCTCTCCGTAGATAAGATCTTTCCACCTTACAAGCCTCCACCTTCCTCTACTCCAGCTGAGCAGAAGCAAGCTCAACTTCTGCTCGCGGCTTTATCTCACTTGCCCTTCAATGTTCTTGAGGATGATGTCTCTCTCAAGAACCTTCGATGGGCTTGTGATATTCTAACTCGGGGTCATGTCCTCAATCCCCTTGCCCAAGCAGAGCTTCACATGTTTTTAGACCAACTTCTATTGCTTCTCCACTGGCATCGGACCTCCATGGCTACCACACAATCTTTAGACCAACTCTTGTCTCTTCGAGTTCATGCCCAGTATGAAGCAGAGAACATCATTGAAGAATTTAATGATTTCAAGAATAAAGATTCTGCGTACTGGGATGACTTGGATATAGACGAATTGGAACAAGGATTGAGAGAAACAGCATTCGAAATAAAGGCTGAAGAGCTCTTTTACGAAGTGAGAGCACATCAACTCATGCAACTAATGTTAGAAGAAATAGAGGATAGAATAAAGAAAGAACAGAAATTCATTGATCATAGTTGGACTAAATTTCATGATCTTGTTATTTATTTCATTCCCTATTTTTATGAGCTTGAGTTTGTACCCAAATAGGGCCATTCGATGTATTTGCTCTTGTTTTAATACCACCAAGAATTTTTCTTTGTTTGGTATTGTAGACACCCCATTTTTGACCGTCCTCAAGACTTGGACGTCACCGCTTGAACACTCGGTGATCATCTATGTTTGTGTTCGTCTTGAGTTCCCGGAGGTCTCGGTTGCGCGCCTTGCCTCAGGATCTCTCGACTCGACTGTTTTGTGTCTGGTTTTGCACCAAACACTTGTGCTTTGCCTTGGAGGGGCAGGGAATGGCTTGTGGGCCATCCCCACACTCCACCGACCATGGCTTGAGGCCACCAACGGTGTTTTGTTTTCAC